CCCAGAAAACAAATACTTACTGGGTGCTTACAATGTGTTGGGAAATTTTCTTGGTTGTAGTAAACAAGAAAGAGGTCTGTCTCAAAGAGATCTTAAGCATAAACAACCAGAAAACGTTTGGGGGTGAGGGGAGGGTGATGGCTTATAGGGAAGAAAAATCAATAGCACCATTTTGGACCATGCTGGGTTTCAGATGCCTGTTAGATACCCAAGGACAAAGAGTGGGAGGTAGAGAGACAAGTCTGGAGTGTAAAGGAGAGGTCGGGGCTGGAGATACAACACTGAGTCATCAGTATATAGATAATATTCAAAGCTTCGGCATGGAACGAGATTTCCCAGAAAAACATAACGATGGAGCGCAGGGTTAAGGGCAGACAGCCCTGAGGCCCTCCAACCCTGTGGTGTGAGAGAGGAGAGATATTCAAGAAAAGAACCATGGACATGGCCAATGAGATAAGTGGAAAATGACCTGAGTCAGGGGTCATGGAAACCTAGAGGAAAACATTTCAAGGAGGGAATGAATAATCACCAGTAATGCTACTATAAAGTCATGTAAATTACAGAGAACTGATCACTGGTTTTGGCAAAAAGTTGGTCTTTTATTTAACAAATATTTATTTAGTACCAACTCTGTGTTAGATATTGCTCAAGATATTGCTCAGTGAACAAAACAGATGAAAATCCTTGTCCTCATCTGGTGAGGGGTAGGGAAGGGAAAGGTGAACAATTAAATCACAGTGTTAACTTTAAAAGTAAGACCTGCCACTTATTTTACCCGCAAAAGATAGGTTTTTTTGGGAGTAAAAGAGAATTTGCAATCTGGGACAAACTAGCTGCAGCAAAACCCTAGGCAAGTGGAGAAGAGGGGGACAAAGGAGAGGCTTGTTTAAGGAGAAAAGGAGTTATTTGGAAAGGCTGTTAGGAACTAAAAGTCCATTGGAGTAAACTGGGAGTTCAAAGCATGGTGGCTTCTCATTGGCTAAGCTGTTGCTGGGGGCGGGGAGGGGGGCGGATAAGGGAAGCCAGTCTTCCTCCAGCTGCATCGGTAGAGAAGAATCTTGGGCAAGGTCAAGTCAGTCTCTTCCTGTTGAGTCTGCAATTGACTACTGAATGGCAGGGTGTGAGTGCTTCCCCTGTGGAAACCTCCTGACTTTATTTTAGTGAGGTTCCCCCTTACTAGTTTTCACAACACCCTGCTAGTTGGTTAGAAGTACTTTACAGAAAACTAAAGCAAGGAAGAAGAGAGTTTGGGATGAGGTGGGTAGGGAAGGGGGGCGATTAAAACAGGTGAGCAGGGAAAGACACACAGGTGACGTTTGAAGACTCGAATGTGCCAAGGGCATGAATGAGCTCTGCAGGCCTCTGGAGGAAGAGCCCTTAAAGGGGGAAGAACACTGCCAAAGAAATTGCCTGTAAGATGTAAAGATTCACCAGGATGCCAGTGTGGCTGGAGCAGAGTAAGTGAGGAAGACGGTAATTGAACAAGGCAGATGGTGGCATGGGGGAGGCTGTGTGGAGCCTTCCCTGTGAGGCAGGAAGCCAGGGATTTGAGCAGAGGGGTGACACTGAAGGGCCTAAGTAATCCCATTTTGAGATTAAGGCCTCCATTAAGAGCAACCTCGGGCTGCACATAGCCCCAGTTCCAGGAAAAACTTTAGCTGAAGCCACTCACGGACCACCCTCAGGTCAGCCAGTCAAAAGAAGCTAAGAAAGATAGGAGTAACATTCCTGTGGTCTGAGTCAGGGTCTGGGGACTATAGATAACTACTTTGTACAAACTAGCCAATCACCCACCGCTTGCCTGAACCCCACATGGGCCCTTTAAACTCACCTCATAACTGGTAATTTTCAAAGGATTCTCGAAGGTCATGACTGGGTCCCGCCAAAAGTAATGAACACCTCACAGATACGGAATGGTCAAAACTGTTGCCATGGGTGCTGTACAATTATGATTGGTGCTTATGTGATGATGCTATGCGTACAACGTGTACACTGTAACACCGTCCCTTACCCCATAAAAACCCTGCTTGCCATTGTTCGGGGCTTCACTTGTCAGGCTGCTGCTGCGCTGGCTGACGGGTGAGCCCCTGCTCTAGCTTGTAATAAAGACCCTTATATACTTGCATCGGTGTCGGCTCCTTGGAGGTTTTAGGGGACTCGCGATTCAGGCGTAACAACACTGGCTGACTTCCGTGTTGACAGGCTCATGCAGGCTGCTGTGTTGAGAAGAGACTCTTGGGGACAGGAGTGGGGTGCTGAGCAAAGGCTGAAGTGGGGAGACTGGTTAAGAGGCAACTGCAATAATTTAGGTGAGAAATGGCGTCCCTTGGGCCAGGTGGTAATGGTAAGCCTAGTGAGAAGCTGAGAGATTCTGGATACACTTTGAATCTACAGCAGGTTGGATTTGCTGATAAGCTGTGTGTGTGTGTGTGTGTGTGTGTGTGTGTGTGTGTGTGTGTGTAGCAGGTATAAGAAACCACTGAGCATGACACCAAGATTATGAGCCTGAGCAGCTGGCAGGATGGAGTTACCATGAACTGAGTTGAGGAGGACTTCAGGAAATTGGGGAGTCTGTTGGGGGATATTGTCCTTAAACACGAGAGGGGGGGCAGAGATCTGCTCCAGTGGAGAAGCCGACCTTAGTGGGGGCATGGACAGCTCATCAGCAAAGCACAGGCAGAGAGGTGCAAGCCCATGCAAGCGCTTTTTTCAAATTAATTTTTAAAAAAAATTGAACTGTTCGTTACATTAGCTTTGGCTGTACCACGTAGTGATTCCATGATTCGACAACTCTATATATTATGCCCTCTATATATGCTTTCTCTGGATGACATCTATTTTTTCAATGAAAGGGTCTTCCATCGTGAATATGCAGGGAGGAGGTGTTTGAAGTTTGAGGAGACAGTTGTTGAGGAGAGTGGGGGAATGAATGGAGGAGGGCAGTAAAGCAAAATTCCAGGGGCAGCTTAAAGGCCCACTTGACCTCAAGGTGGCTATGCATTTTCCTTAGGCCACCTTACGGCACAAAGGTACGGGTGTGGAGTCGGAAGAGCTGGAATTGGCTGGAATTAGCTGTGGCTGAAGGTTTGCTGAGTACCATGGAAAGAGAGAAGGCCAAAGATATTCAGTGTTCAAGGAATTCACTCACCCCAGCCTAGGGGTAAGAGGAAGTGAGAATTACCACCACTTGAGAGCCTCAGGGGAAACTGTGTCTTGGGGAGGAAAGGGTTTAATTCTGAACAAAGAAGTAAAGGAAGCATTCAAAGAGGCTGAGGAGGTGGGGGTTTTGTTACTCTGGGTAAATCTATTTCAGGTGGAGTGGTGTGGCCTGCCTGGAGGGAGTCAAGGATGGTTGACAGAAAAGTTGACAACTCTCAAAAATTTTTGCTCCAGGGGCGCCTGGGTGGCTTAGTCGGTTAAGCGTCAGACTTTCGCTTAGGTCATGATCTCGCGGTTCGTGGGTTCGAGCCCCGCATCGGGCTCTGTGCTGACTGCCAGTTCAGAGCCTGGAGCCTCCTTCAGATTCTGTGACTCCCTCTCTCTCTGACCCTCCCCTGCTCACGCTGTCTCTCTCTCTCTCTCCTAGAAATAAATAAAACATTAAAAAAATTAAAAAAAAATTTCTTTTGCTCCAAAGGTGCTGGATGAGCTGAAGGCAGAAGGCAAAGTTAGTGTGTGTGTGTGTGTGTGTGTGTGTGTGTGTGTGTGAGTTAAGGGAGATATTTCAGCATGTTTTTATACCAATAAAAAAAGAGCCAGATAAGAGTAAAAAATTGCCAATACAAGAGAAGAAAGGGGTCGATATGGGGTCCTTGCAGAAGCAAAGCCCTTGAAAAGGTCAGAGGGCACTGGATCCAAGGCCTAAGTGGAAGCCTTGGCCATAGAACCAACTTTGTACAAGAAAAGTAGCAAAGAAGGCTATAGGCAGGAAGGCTGGTGGAAACAGCAACTGGAAAGATGAGTTAGTTCTCTTTGGGATGAATCTATTTTATCTCTGTAAGTATGAGAGGTTGTCATCTTGTGTGTGTGTGTGGGGAGGATGTTGGAGATTTGATGAAAGATAAGGGTGAGGAGAAACAGTCACGAGGTTGGGAGAATGAATTTACTAAAGAATTACAGGTTTGTTTGGCAGTATTGCGTGCCCACCTGAGATCTGTGGTCCTAAATCTGAAGTGGGACCAGTCAACAGAGTTGTGTAATTTTTCCCCACCGGGCCTGGCCGTGTGGGTGCAGTTGCTAAGTGGCTAAATGAGGACTGAGGCCTGTGCCAGGTGAGTGTGTGGAGGGGGGCAAGGCACCGGGATTTGGGTGTCAGCTGTGAAGTACTAAAGATACGGGGCCATCGTCTGGGCTTCAAAAGGAGGGAAGCAATGGTGTGAAGGGGGTCCTGGATAATGACACAGGGTCTGCTCGCGGGCCTGGAGTGAGAGAATGAGGGTAAATGGGCTTGAAGGGCTGAGGGCAGTAAGCAGAGGTGGTAGATGACACGAAGACTGTGGAGATGGTACCTCATTGATTTTGTCCCCCAACGGACGAAAGCACTAACCAAGTGAAACTTTTATGACCAAGGTGATGTTGCCTTTGGCCACCTGAGAAAACACACACTTTCTGATTCTATCACTGGTTTGGTTGGGGTTGGTTTGGCTAGTAGAGTCTGAGTCAACGGGAATTTCACAGTCGGATCCACTATGAAATGAGTGCCTTATGCTTCGTTACAGGGAAGCACTATAGTACACAGGGGAATTCTGTAAGCTGTTTTGACATCAATATGGAGAGAGAGACACATCTGGCTTTAGCTTTTCACATATTTTTTATGATGCCAATATTAAAATAAGAAAATGCTCATTTCATAACGAATGGAAATTTTCTCACGAATCTGGTATCATCAGCAACTTCAGAGAATAAGAGGGATTCTCTAGGAGTGTCCATAAAAAAGGACTTAATTAAAGCGAGAGTATTTTGCTGTGAAGGATTTAAAACTAAACATAAAAAAAAAGCCCTTCATTACAAAATGTTTTATTTCACTGCAATGCCATTTAAAATTACAAGAATATAAGCAAATATCGTCCAATGTCAGAAGACATTCAGGGTGATTGTCTTCAGTATTTAGGGACAAATTAATTGTATCATGGAAATGTTCAATTCATTAAAAAGAATAATCAAGTTTCATTCGAATAATTAAGATAAGCTTTGTGTAGAGAATCACATTTTCGTCTGGCTTATACAATTCCATTTTCTCCAACTGGAAGATGTGTAGGATCCAGGCCGACTTTCTTCATTGTCACGGCAATGTCAAACAAATAGTCGTAACACTCACACCTAGAAAAGAAAAAGCAAGGAATTGAAGGGCTTCGTGAAACAGAGTTCTGCAGCCCTCCCAACCACATTTCTCCTCTCCATCAAGCTAACCCTGCTCCTAGTGCATTGTTTTTTTCTCAGTTCCAGGCCAAATGTTTCTCATTTTGCCCCCAGCATTATTAAAACATGGAAAGGAATCATACTGAATCATGCAAACATATTACATCCTTCTCAGGAAATAAAAGGGAGTTTAAATTTTTTACTCTGTGTCACTTTTTGAAAGAATTGTAGCAAATCATTATATAACTTGGGTTGTATAAGGCTGTATAACTTAGCTTTATCTCCCTTCTAGCCTTAAAGTTGGGAGAAAAAAAGTTGGGTTTCCTTCTCCTTTGTATCAAGTGCATAGCGCCTTGCCAAATGATATATTTCTTAATAAATGAATACATAATAATACAAATCAAATACGTAGAAATAACAGACGACTTAAATTTAAACCAATTTCACCAATAACACACCGCAAAGTTGTACTTCCTTTCAAATCATAAAACACACTTGATTCCCTTTTCACATCTGGAGTGTAGTGACTTGTCCCAAACACCCTTTGATGGATACTTACATGATTTTGGCCTTCTCCCAGGTTTCTCCCCAGACATACACTCCGTGACGCCTGACCAGGACCGCGCAGGAGTCCGGGTATTCATTTATTGCGCGAGCCATTCGTTCTTTGAGGTCTTTCTCCTCAGGCATATTCTCAATAATGGGTACCACTAACATATCATCATTCCTATGGAACAAGACAAGCCATTTTTCCCACTAAAATAAATAAAGGTATTCACACGTAAAAACATAGTTTTTTTTTTCACCTAACCAATTAGACATTCTGTTTGTATCTGAAAGCCACTCCACGTTATGAACAAGATTTTGCATGTTATTCTGTATATCCTGCATAGGCAGCTACCTCATAAGACACCTTGGGAATTTGGCAGGTATTCTTCGAAGTGGCAGAAATTTGTATAGGATATCAAAACCTAACAAAGAAATTATCAAGACCATACAAGTATTTCCTTGAAGCAGAGACAATCATAGTATTTTTAACAGAAGATGAGAAATGATAGATCCGAGAACCAGAAACATAGAAAGGATTAACGATTGAACTACTTATTAAGTATGAATTTTCCAAAGATACAATATCATTTTATTTTATCTCTGTAAGACCTCAAAGTGTCTCAGGCAAATAAATAAACACAGGTGTGGTTTATAGTACTGGGCTAGCAAGAATCTTCTGGAAGTAATTACTAAAGGTGTGCTAGTACTTTCAGAACATTCTCAAGTCTGTGGCATTGGAACTTCTTTTACTTCCACCTGTTTTCAGTAAATACAAGTGATAAAATCAGAATATGCATTTCCTTTCTACTCATGTAATAATATTTAAGTGAATAACTTAGTTACTGGCCAAACTTAACAACAACAACAAAAATTCTAGGTAAAGTTTTATCAAAAATTGGTATTGCTACTTTAGGGCAGGTATAGGCTAGGAAGCTGTCATGTGATAAAAAGTTTGGCCAACCACTGCCATTAACAGTATGGAGATGTATATTATTTCACTTAAGTGAAATAGAGGTAATTGAAGAATCTTCTTAAATACCAAGCACAGAGCTTGATGCGGGGCTCGAACTCACGAAATGCGAGTTCATGACCTAAGCTGAAGCTGGACGCTTAACTGACTGAGCCAGTCAGGCGTCCCCCAGATCTTTCCTAGTATTGGCTAAGAGAATCACAAACATATATTTTCCTCTAGTATACACTGAGTAGTCAGACATCTTTTCAGGAGTAAAATAATATCACAGAAAAATGAGAGCTGAAATTCGATCCAAGCCACCCACTTTACAGACAGAACACTGTCCCTTCTGAGTTAAATGAGGAACAGAGCGAAGATGGTCCTCTGACCTCTAAACAGTGTGCTTTTCACTCTGCCACAGGCCAGCCGTGTCCTGCCGGAAGGAGGGACAACCACACTTACATACAGTAACCTCCCCTGAGGGGAATTAGGTGTGTATTTGAAAACTTTTGTTGTTTCAAGATGGACTTAAAAAATAAGGAATATCAAAACCTTCCTTTCTTCCTTCATCCAGCCTTCAATGCTCCTTCTTTTGAAAACTGGACTCTTAGGATTCTCCCCAAATTCTGAAGAAAGATCACTGCCTCCTGAGCTGTGATAATGACTCTGTTACTGACTTCCCAGCCAGGCTCAAATGGAATTGCAAAGGACATTTCAAAAAAGTTTGTATTCTTTAAATTCAAAAACATTTAAAGTGATCTGTAAAGTGTGTATGCTATGGTGTGTAAGAAGTGGCCCGTCCTCATTCAGGCCATTCTTTTCCCCACAGAATCCAGAAGGCTCTCAGCCGTCCCTCCACCTGCCCTTTCACGCCTCCTCGCCTGCTTTCATTTCTTCACCAAAGCAATCAAATGCTGAGGAAATTAATAGCACACACAATGCCTCTGCTTGGAGACCCAGAATGGAAAGGGCACTGTGGGGCTATACTTTCTTTAGTATGTACACTTTCATAATTTAAACATTTCACTTTTGTAATAGGTATTCCGCAGTGCTGAGGAATACTGTAGGCATACAATAAATAGTAACTAAAATCAAACCATATTGAGTTCCTGGCTCACTAGTTTAAACATGTACATTCCATAACATGCAGCAACAATAAGATATTGCAGTTAAGAACACTTTAGAGAAACTGGCACCCTTTTCCTCTAAGCAAGGTAAGGTAGAATCGGGCCCAAATTTAAGGTAGCAAAGTAAGAAGCGCAGGAATAAGAATGCCAGTACATTTAAATGAAATGCTTAGCTTCTACCTGAACACTGAGAACACACTTCTTCCCATCCCTGTATTCTAGATTGGCGAATAATTATTGCGTTTTGGTTGGCTGGTAGATTCAGTTGATTTTATCTAGAAGGCCTCCATTCTATACGAACTATCCCACTTTCCATACTGAAAAATTATAAAAATATAGAGAGCTACTTAATTGAAATAATCATAAATATGAAAATGTTCTAGAAACACTAAAAATTTTTTTTTAATGTTTATTTATTTTTGAGAGAGAGAGAGAGAGAGAGAGACAGAGTATGAGCAGGGGAGGGGCAGAGAGAGAGGAGACATAGACTCTGAAACAGGCTCCAGGCTCTGAGCTGTCAGCACAGAGCCCAATATGGGGCTTGAACTCATGAATTGCACGATCATGACCTGAGCCGAAGTCGGACACTTAACTGACTGAACCACACAGGCGTCTCTAGAAAAACTAAATTAAATCAAGATGAAGCTTCAGTCAGGGCTGAAGCTTCCTGAAGACAGAATGAGGTGAGGCCACCATGCTCTCTGGGCGCTTCCATACAGAAACGTAATCTTTCCATCTCTACAGAAAGCTCACCCAAGGGTTTTCCACTTAACTCTGACACACGGTTTCATTATTCACGTTGCTAATAATTTACCAAGACTGGGGTGGTGGTGGGGAGGAGGAGGGGTGGCGTCTGATTTGTGTCACCAAAAACAGATCTGGAAGTGTAAGCGTAAGTCGGCTATTATTTAACATAGATCCCACAACATCTCATTAAATTCATAAAAAGGTGAGAAGCCTCTTTATCAAAAGACAGAAAAAGACTTGAAATTACTTAAGCAAAAATAGAAAAAAATACCTATAATACCCTCCTGAAGTACATTTCCTTATTCCTTTTATCATCTCTTGATGTGTAATTTTAAACTCTCGTCCTGGAAAGAGAAGGGTGGCCATGACGGCAGCTTTTGAGTGGGTATGAATCACTGCGCCAGCTCCTGGAGGAAGGAAAAGAAAGTCACATACTCAGGGAAAACTAATACACACACACACACACACACACACACACACGCCAGCTCCTGGAGGAAGGAAAAGAAAGTCACATACTCAGGGAAAACTAATACACACACACACACACACACACACACACACACACATATATACATACACACACATATTATAAATATGTAATGCACACATACATTTATTTGTATGTGTGTATATGATGACAAACTTGTTTTTCTTGGCATGGAATAATAAGTTGGCAGTAGACAGGAAGGGAGGGAGGGAGGAAGGAAGAGAGAAATACTAACAGAGGACCTACAAAGCAAAAAGCTTTTAAACTTTATCAACATCAGGACAAGGTACAATACACATGCTCAAGAAATAGCTTTTAGATGGTCTGAAGTATAACTATAATAACCATGGAGATCAGTCAAAATATTACCACTTGATTAGGGGTTTCCTCTGTGCCAGGCCCTGGGCAAACCCCCTTTACGTGTGATCTCTTGATCTTGAGTCCTCACAATGACCAGAGACGTAAATTCTATCTCCTCGACTTAATGGTCAAGGAAACGGGGGCTGAGAGACTTTAAATCACTTGTCTGTGGTTCACAGATAGCAGTGGTGGCACTTGGATTTGAACCAAGGTCAGGGTGACCCTTAATCACAGAGTTAGGCTTCATATGTCATGTCCTGGTGGCACAGGGGTGGTAGGGGTTTTAAGGTATAGTGTAATGGATTTACCTAAAAAAGGATTTGTAGGCTATAAAATTCAGTAATGGCTGTTCTTGCAGTTGGAGGTTTACTTTGCTTTATGCTGGGAGAAGGGTTTCATGCTGTTACACTCTGTTCCTGAGGTTTTACCCTGTCAGGAGCAGCTGACAGTGTCCGGGAACAGAACACAGCATGAGTCCATGCTCAGTACGGATTTCATTCAGGGGCTCTATAAAGCATGGTTCTAATAACTTTATCGCTATGGTGTTTCAGGTATAATCTTCTATTTTCACACTGTCCTCTAGCTTCAACCTTTCCAGACCGGTTTTCTACCACAAATTCTGGGAATTGCAATAAGACTCCTACTTTTATCAGATGGTACATTTTTTTTTTTCCAAAGAGGACTATTTCCACTAAAAGTAAAGAAAAGGCTACAATTTTCCCTTACTTGTAATCTGACTCAAATCCTACAAGTTCCCAGAGGTAGAACTCTAAACTAGAATAGGAATCTGATTGTAAATATAGTGTTGAGTCAGTCAATCTGACAATCTGGTGGAGTCACACTAGGTTAGAATTCTGGCCCCAATACTCACTAGCTTTTTATTTTAGGAGAATCTCCCAGAGCCTCTGTCCTCTCGTATATAAAATGGAGAAAGAATGGACCTTCCACGTGGGCTTATGTGAGCACACTGAATGTGTTAACATAATTAGAGTTCTTGCTCATAGTAGGTGTTCGAGAAATGTTAACTACAACAATAATTACAATTATTTAGAAAACCTACTCTGTAGCAAATACTTATTTAGGTTGAAAACATTTTTTGCCTACCTCTCATTGTGTAAGCATTCATGAAAAGAGGAGTGCACTGGCTTTTTTTAAGATTCTTATGTGGCAGAGGTCCACTTATGTCCTGTTCATTGATGTCACAAACAAACATGTCTTCAGGCTGTTTGTAGAGGGGGCAGAGAAGAAAAGAAGGCTTATACAACATCAATTAGAAGTGTCCCCTTCTTGTGTGTGCTAAAATGTATATATGCATATTTAACTCATCTTGTAAATATTCCTATAATTGTACTTTCCCTACCAAAATGTTTTAGCCATTTTGAGAAATTTAAAAAAATGTTTTCTACTGATAAAAATATTCCCAAGAGAGCTGAAATTCTTCTTCTAGAATTTGAAGAAACAATTGATATGGATAATTTCATATGCATGTAATGATACTTCATTAACTTAGCTTCTTGGCTTTCCCTTGTAATTTCACAACTATATTTCAGAGAAACTCTACAAAGAAATAATCATTCTACAATGAGGGGTTACAGTTTTTTCTTCATATGTCATGAGGAAAAATATAGAGTAGAATTTTCTTATCTCCTGAGAAACTAAATGGTACTCAGAAATGTTAATCTCAGTAAGCTATGTTATTCTTAAAGTTCAAGTAATTAAGCAGCTCCACAGATTTTCCCTAGTAGTGCATGCATACTTCTGATTTGTAACTTTCATTTGCCAGGGTTTATTACAAACTACAATATAAGAGCTTTATTAATGAAGGATTATGCCTTAGATAGAAGGTAAGCGTTATGTTTAACTAAATTTTCAGCATTCTAGCATTAATATGAAACAAGGCTTCTCAAAAATCTGAAATAAAGTTTTATAACTTAGATGGGAACAGCTTTGCTATTGTTAATATGAGCCAGTTTGGTCCATTTGAGACCATCAATGTGATTACCTTACTAGCCCAATAACGACGGTGTTAAAATTCTGCAAAATTATAATCACTTTGTAGTAGGACTTAAGATTGTGCAATTCACTTGTGCCCTCTAGAGGATGAATGAGAATTCAAAAATATTAGTTGCATGGAGGTTCACCTTAAAAAAATTTTAATAGTTACTTAACAAATGTTTATTGATTATTCATTTAAATTTTAACAGTATAACCCCCCCCCAAACTTCTTTTAAAATGAATTCCATTTTACAAAACAATAGTCAAGTGGAGAAGAAAAGAGATTTGGGGTCAAGAAGGAGCCTTTAAACATACCTGAATCCGTTCCTTTTGCACTCCTGAAGGAGTAATGTAGATTTCATCGCTGGTAACACAAAATGTAGAAATTGGTATTTATTTAACTCTACTGTTCTGCTTTTGAACAAAGGCAAGTGTATTCTTATAGTCCAATCATCAATATTCTGTATAAATCAAGTCACACAGAAAGCTGCTTGATCTAATTAATGGTATATGCTGTATAGAAATAATACCAAATTACTAATGCATTGTAATTATATTACAAATGTAATGCTGGTGATGCAGTAAAATGTTGATAGTTTTCATATATATTTCTTTATTTCTTTTTATAGTGCAAAATCAATGGTAACCAGACTTTTATCTGGTTTTGGAAAGTAAAACAAGCCTTTGGCATCTTTAAGTATGAGATTGCAGTTTACCTCATTAATTGTGGAATAGTAATTAAAAATTCCATTCGGGGGAAAATATGCTTATGAGGAGTAGATCTCTGTCTCACAAGGGATCAAGTTTAATTTTAGTGCTTGAAATGCTCTGCTTATAAAACATGAAGTTCAGGGACCCCTGCTGGAAGGTTTATTAAATTATAGCATTAACACTGGGCTACTAATTTTGGGCGGAATCTGAGATTCCTATTTGAAAAGCACATCTATTTTGTGAAAATATCTGGTAATAAAGCTGAAACAACTGTGGAAAGTTAAAAATACATATAAATGGCATCTGGAGAGGTCTCTGTTACAGAATGTTGTGCTAGGGGAGTAGCTATACTGTACCATTTGTCACAAAGCATTCTCAAATTTGATTTGGAAATTAATTTCAAAATCTCTAAATTCTCTCCAGCCTCAACAAAGGTCCTTTGGTGCCTTTGTCAGTTTCAGTGGCTGCCAGAGGGTAGTAAAGAGCTGCCACATACGTGCAAATGAAAAATACCGTCACCCGCATGCTCCAGCTTCTGCCGTTGAGGCATGGATGGAGGGACACTGATTCCTGGTGAAAATGAGGATGATGGCCGATACTGAATCAAGCCACCAATCCAGTTGGGGTTATTAATAAACCTATAGACTTGTAACTGACAAAAATGGAAGTTCCTTTAAGGGTCTGCTTGTAAACTAAAATGGGAGTGAAATCCAAAACACAGCAAGATATATTTAGTCCTTTGTTTTCATGAAATAGCTCCCTTTAGAGCTTTGCTGCCTAAAAATACCACGACATAAGAAAACCAAGGAGTGGCATTCCTTTGGAGCCAGTGGAATCAGTAGGGATCACACAGTTAAAAGGGGTTCTTTGCAAATACCGGGATCCAAATCTTCTGTCCTTATGCAACATGGGAGAAATTCTAGACTCATGTGTGGTATATAGTCAGTGGACTTGTAGGCTAAGTCTTCTTATGTAGGGAGAAATTTATGCAGCCCTAGGAACAGACCCAAATAAAGATTAAAACAGCCTATTGGTAAATACAATCCATCCACAAAACGGGACAATCCAGGGTATTCTGTTTATTCAAGTGATCTGGTAATCTAAATCTGTTTTTATTACTATCTTCCTGAAAACAAATCAGTTTAGACTGATCAACTTTGGGTAATTAAAAGATTAGCTAAATATGTTTTAGGAAAATATATTTACATCTACAAAGGAGATATCTGGATAAAAATACAAAGTTGATAGAAACTTTAGTTTATTTTTGAGAGAGAGTGCAGGGGAGGAGCAAGGGGAGGCAGAATCTTAAGCAGGCTCCAATGCCCAGCACAGACCCGATCTCATGACCCTGAGGTCATGACCTGGGCCAAAATCGAGAGTTGGACATTTAACTGATTAGCCATCCAGGCGTCCCTAGAACCTTTAGTTTAGGAGGGAAACATGCCAAAGACTAAAAGTGAAGTATTTACTTGGTGTTGTAAGCCACAAAGAAAAAGCATTTTGAACTTGAAGGTATTAAGTTTTGGAATTTCTTCCTCCATGCTACTTGCTCTTTCACTATTCCATAAGGAGGGGAAACTAAATTCAAGAGTTCAAAATACATCTATGTTCTGTTACCTCTATTTTTATTTACTGCCTAGTTGTTTAAAAAAATTTAAATCTAGGGGTACCTGGGTGGCGCAACTGGTTGAACATCTATCTGACTTTGGCTCAGGTCACATCTAGTGGCTCCTGAGTTCAAGCCTCACATTGGGCTCGCTGCTGTCAGTTCAGAGCCTGCTTCAGATCCTCTGTTCCCCTCTCTTTGCCCCTCCCCTGCTTGTGGTCTCTGAAAAATTTTTTTAAAAATTTAAATTTAATATCTTGTCTACACTATGAGTTTATCAAATTTAATTCTAATAGCATGCAACAGGATTGGTGTCTCTGGCACATTACAACATTACACCACAGAAACAGGAAATGCTCAGTGTGAATGGTAGTACCCCAACCTAAAAACAATGGCTGCTGAGTGTCCTGGAATTGCTTGGATTATTGTCATTTTCTTGGTCTTCCATTTCCTCCTGATTTAACTCTCATATGTATCTTAAGTTGTCTTTTATATACGTCTTTTGGTACTAACACACAAGCAGTATAATCTAAAATGGTATCAGTCAAACCCTGGAATCAGTAAATAATTTTATATTTCCAAATATAATCTATTGGGTTTGTCCTTCATTCCAAATTTATTTGCTTTAAGCATCAAAGAAAACCAAACTTTCACCTATAACATAGCAGATAGAGTTAATGATGTGAGCTTATTAAGTCATTTAAATACTAGGAAAAAATTCAACATTTTACTACAAATCACCCATCTTACTCTGTAAATTAGCACACATTTGGTAAGATTCCAAACAATGCCATAAAATTGTGGCTGTTTCCACCCGTGACCTCCAGGAGGAGCTCCTCACCCGTTAAGAACCTAACCAAGGACCAAACATTTTCACTTAGGATGCAATGTCCCCATAAATTGATTGTAGTGCTGTAAAAACCATTTAATTTTAAAAGGTGCCAGTGAGTGCTGTAGGGTGACCACACACATTTTTAGTGCGTGGGTTAGTAAAATTCTTCTAGAAAGAACATAGTCTTTTACGTCTTTACGATACAAATTTACTTTTGGGATCTGTAATGGGCCGCTTATCTGCATTCCAGTTTTCACTCTGCCATTTTTTAAATGTTTATTTCTTTTGAGACAAAGAGTGAGGAAGAGAGAGTGAGTGAGCAGGGGAGGGGCAGAGGGAGAGAGGAGAGAGACAATCCCAAGCAGGCTCCACATTGACAGCATGGATTTCATGAACCATGAGATCATGACCTGAGATAAAATCAAGAGTCAGACACAACCAAGAGCCACCCACGTGCCCCTAAGTTACCACATCACTGCCATTTTTTTGGAAGAGCCACTTAAAAAATGGTTATTTTTACTCAGTTTGATAGAAAGTTCTATTCTGTACACACATAAACTTTCTGCATATGCAAATAAAAAGCAGTTAACTAAAGACAATGTTTAGAATATGATTTATTATAAACATAGCTGAGAAACCAAATTATTGGGAACTCAACTATATGGATAAATGAAACAACAGTGACAAATGTCATTATCTTAGGACTTTGCTCTGAACAGGTCAACTTGAAAGCTCTGGCAAAATAATCTGAAAACCTGCAAAATGCTGAATTGGATTGACGGAGCACTGGGCTGATGGTGAGAGAGGGGCACGGATGGATGTGCGATGCTCCGTGAGGAACACGCCCTTTCCAGACTGAGTGCACCCCTATACGTGTAACTGTGACATCTGGACCCGCTGACGTTGCCCACAGTTCAATTACTATTCCATGAGGTACTTGGTAATCTGAAGTAGATGAGACTTCACTGGCATCATCTTGCAGTATTCCGGAAAAATCGCTTTCGTTCTAAGCTTTCTGATTAAAATTTTCCATTCCACTACTTTCTATGAAATGCAGCCCCCTTGGGGGTATTACTATATGGATTCAATATTATATAAACATTATAGTAATTCAATGTCGTTACAGAAAGTGAATTAGGATAAAAAAGTAAATCAAGTTACCCAGTTTAACATTCAGCCTCCAGACAATGCTATTCCTGAAACATTTAAGGAGAAAAAAAAAAACATTCATTCTATTCCAGAAACACTTGAAAGAATTGAGTTTCTACAACCTGCATTTTTATTGTTGGTACTCACTTGTTTCTTCACCTTCTTGGAGGAAAGACTCTGAACGTTATCTAATGAACAATTAAATACTATTCGTTCTTTCTGTTTCAACCAGTGCCTCTTGTTTTATCCTCTGAGTAAAAAAGACCAGCAGGTGCTGGCCATGAATGATGAAACATGATGCACTTAGAAAAGCATATTGTCAGGGGTGCCTGGGTGGCTTATTCAGTTAAGCGTCTGACTTTCGCTTAGGTCATGATCTCACAGTTCGTGGGTTTGAGCCCCGCGTCGGGCTCTGTGCTGACTGCCAGCTCAGAGCCTGGAGCCTATTTCAGAGTCTGTATCTCCCTCTCTCTCTGACCCTCTCCTGCTCACCCTGTCTCTCTCTCTCTCCTAGAAATAAATAAAAATATTTAAAAAAACACATTTATTGGGGAGCCTGGGTGGCTCAGGCAGTTGAGCGTCCGACTCCGGCTCAGAGCATGACCTCACAATCTGGGAGTTCGAGCCCCACGTGGGGCTCTGTGCTGACCGCTCAGACCCTGGAGCCTGCTTCAGATTCTGTGTCTCCCTCTTTCTCTGACCCACCCCTGCTCACACTCTCTCTCTCCTAGAAATAAATAAAAATATTTAAAAAAAACAAAGGCATATTGTCATCTTCTGACTTAATGTGATGTTTAGTACTTTTGATGCTTTGTAATCTGTATTTAAGTGACTTTAAAATCTGTAACTGACCCTTGAAACAAATCCTGCTTACCTGGAACCCTTTCTAATTTCAGACATAGAAACATCCTTGGCAGCATGTAATTTAACTTTGGGATTCCAAAGACTGAGGACCAAATTACTCTGTCTAGAAATTGTGACTCTTAAATCCTTAGGTATTTATTGTATCTACAACTTCTACACACTTGTCATTCAGGTATGCAAATGGTCATTTCTCCATTTAGAAACGAGATACTTTCACCATCACATACAACTGAGTACCAGTTGTTCTTTGGACATAACACATGTTAGACTCCCCATGGGCTACTTACATGGAGAATTCTCAGAAGCGAGATCAGCCAGAAACTTACCCATGTTTCAAGCTAATTCCTCCTCCAGTCCCAGTGACCCAGCCCAAGTGGTAAAATTGTTTGCAAAGCTCTGGGATCAGGTATCTTGGATGTTCCTTGTCCTTAAAAAGAAGATAATGATTTTTCAAACAGACACTATATTATTGAGTGACTATTCTAGCTGACATCTCTTTTAAGAAGCCAACATAAGGAAGTTTAAGAAAATCTATAGAAAAAAAAATCTATAGACAGGGTACCATGAGGGAGAAAACTATTACAAACATACTTTGCTTTTTAAATTTATTAAACTTTTTTAAAACTTATTTTTGAGAGACAGAGACAGAGTGTGAGCCAAAGTCGGATGCTCAACCAACTGGGCCATTCAGGTGCCGCATAAAACTTTTTTTTTAATGTTTATTTATTTTTAAAGGAGAGACAGAGTGTGAATGGGGGAGGGGCAGAAGAGAGCGAGATACAGAATCTGAAACAGGCTCCAGGCTCTGAGCTGTCAGCACAGAGCCTGATGTGAGGCTGGAGCCCACGAGCTGTGAGATCATGACCTGAGCCGAAGTCAGACGCTTAATCAACTGGGCCATACAGGTGCCCCCATACTTTGTTTTTAATGTTTTTTCTTTTTTTTTTTTTAACTTTTTTTTTTTTAATGTTTTATTTATTGCTAGGAGAGAGAGAGAGAGACAGCATGAGCAGGGGAGGGTCAGAGAGAGACGGAGTCACAGACTGAAACAGGTTCCAGGCTCTGAGCTGGCAGTCAGCAGAGCCCGACATGGGGCTCGAACCCACGAACCGCGAGATCATGACCTAAGAGAAAGTCGGACGCTTAACCGACTAAGCCACCCAGGTGCCCCACTTTGTTTTTAATGTTTAAAAAGTGGATCTGTGTTATTTGGCACCCTGAATTCATTCAGGATAGGGCCGTATAGTCCAACACTATGGAACATGCTTCAAGAACAAGGAGGGGAAATGCCCAGGATATAATGCAAAGTGTCTACTGCAACGGCTGAAATAAAACAGAACTTAGTGCCAAAAGGAACATGCTTGGTCTGTCCAGCAAATTTCATTACACAAAATATCTTTTTCGGTTAAGTCATGATATACATATGACAGCTATTTGTTCATATTCTGTGTTCATTTGATTTTATTTTTATTCTAAAATGCCTTTTTTCCCCCATAGTGATTACATTTTTTTCACTTATTATAAAATCAACATATACTCATTATGGAATAATAGAGTCAAGAAAATAAAGAAAGGACTCACTTAGAAGCAATCACAATTAATACCTTCTCGGTCCATTTGTATGAAGATCTGTGTGTACATATATATGTTGGGATAAACATAGAACTTTATTCATGTATTTTTATTGAAGTATAATCAATATACAGCATTGTATTAGTTTCAAGTGTGTAACATAAAGAGCAGGTATCTGTATATATTGTAAATGATCAGAACAATAAGTCTAGTTAAAGTAAGAGCTTACTTTTACTAAGTCTAATTAGGAAAAAAAGGATCAATGTTTCCTCCGTTTTTTATAGTTAAAATTAATAAAACCCAAAACAACAATAAAAAATGTAATGAATTCCATTTCTGGCAATACGAAATATAACTCTTACCTTGAAAACAACTAAAAATGTTGAATAAATTTTTTTCCTGAATAAAGTTAAAAAAAAATTTCAAATTAAACTGCTGAGCTAGCAAGAAAGTAAGGAAGGCTTCACAGTGGCCATCAAAGAAACCAGGGTGGGGCGCCTGGGTGGCTCAGTTGGTTAAGCATCCAACTCTTGATTCGGCTCAGGTCATGATCTCACGGTTCATGAAATTGAGCCCCACATTGGGTTCTGTGCTGACAGCGTGGAGCCTGCTTGTGCAAGCTCACTCTCCCTCTCTCAAAAAAAAATCATCAGTAAAAACAAAATGTTGTTAAAAAAAAAAAAAAAAGAAACCAGGGTGAGTCTACCTGGGAGGGGAGCTCTGAAGCCATTTCCCTGAAGGTATTTGCAGAACTCTGGCGAGCTTGACCTTCAATTTTAATAGCTATGGAAGCTGTTAGAAGCTCTTCAATTTTAATAGCTTTGGAAGCTGTTAGAAACATGAAATAAAACCTAGGGTGTGCTCAGAATGGGGTACTTACTAGAAAATCCCTCCCTAGGCATGAAACCAGATAAGGGGTTATACCCTCCGGTTAAGGGTAAACAAGAAATAGACCCTCTGTGCATAAAAGTACAGCAGGGAAGCTTGTGTCTATAAATCCTGGTTCTGCGTAAAGGGGAGAAACATCTTTGAGCCCAGAGGGGTGACTGTTGAATACACTGAATTTTCAGCTATTTAACTGGCTTTCTGAAATTATGGTGTTTTTCCCAATTCACTGTTAATATTTTACGTAAACTTTGTATTTTATTATAAATAATAATTTGATGGAGTAGACTTCAAAATATAAAATAAAGAACATGGGAATGTTAAAAATTTTTAAAGTTCTGATTCAACATAGGCTTAGGAGTTAACGGACATAAAATCAAACCTTTGCTACACTATTGCTTCTATGACTATGGCTTTCAGTGTACTAATCTATAAAATGAGAACATTATGAGGGTTAAATTGAGATACAGTGCCACAGGCTTCCCGGAATGGAGTAAATATGTTTTTTTTTTTTTTTTTTTTTTTTCTAGGAGAGAGAGAGAGAGAGACAGCGTGAACAGGGGAGGGTCAGAGAGAGAGGGAGTCACAGACTGAAACAGGCTCCAGGCTCTGAGCTGGCAGTCAGCACAGAGCCCGACGCGGGGCTCGAACCCACGAACCGTGAGATCATGACCTAAGCGAAAGTCGGATGCTTAACCGACTAAGCCACCCAGGCGCCCCTAGTAAATATGTTTTTTTAAAACATGAGAAAAAATGAAGATAAAGCATCCGGGACAAAGTGTGACCATGTTAGTTTCCCTCCCAGTTCTTTCAATGTTCTATTAGTTCCGGTGTACAATATCCTCTGACAATTCCACATGTCAGGCAATGCTCACCACAGTAAGTGTACTTACCACCTGTCACCACATAGTATTACTACATTATTGACTATGTTCCCTATGCTGTACTCTTCATCCCTGTGATATATTTATTTTATAACTTGAATTTTTACCTTCCTTCCAATTTTAAAGTGCTAAAAATTCTTCTTTTTAAAAAAATTTTTTTAACGTGTATTTATTTTCGAGAGGGAGACAGAATGTGCACGGGTGAGGGCCAGAGAGAGAGGGAGATGCAGAATCTGAAGCTGGCTCCAGGCTCCAAGCTATCAGCACAGAGCCTGAAGCAGGACTCGAACTCACAAACTGTGACATCATGATATGAGCCGAAGTCGGACGCTTAATCCACTGAGCCACCCAGGTGCCTCAGAAGTGCTAAAAATTCCTGAATTAAAACTAATAATAAAGCTGTGTTGATTTTCCTTATGTCTATCCTTACAAAATCTAGCCAAAATTATCCATGCCTTCTATTATTTGCTACTTCCTTTTTTAGTGATACAAATGATATTTTAATTATGTATTAAAGGGGTGCCTGGGTGGCTCAGTCGGTTAAGGGTCCGACTTCAGCTCAGGTCATGACCTCACGGTTTGTGGGTTCCAGCCCCATGTCGGGCTCTGTGCTGACAGCTAGCTCAGAGCCTGGAGCCTGTCTTCAGATTCTGTGTCTCCTTCTCTCTGACCCTCCTCTGCTCACGCTGTCTTTCTCTCTCTCTCAAAAATAAATTAAACATTAAAAAAATTTTAATTATGTATTAAATAACAGATAAGGAGAAAACTCCTACAGTTTTCCAATCCTTAGAACCATCCATTTGCATAGAAAGTTGCAAACATTATAGAAAGTGGTCTGTTGTTACGGGTCTCCTCTTTCCCTTTTGTCTTTTCCAGTTCTGAGTTATCACGGCAATTAGCCCATTTCCTACTAGAGGGTAACAATGGCAAGTCAGCTGCTCTTAATGAAGTTTCATTCATTTGTTCCAACCCACAAAATTTCAATTTTAGGAAATTGTAGGAGTGGGAACTAACATAGATTTGGTAAAAATGCAGTCATTTAAGTTGTTCGGAATGGTAAGAAAGTAAATACCAGAATGTATATTTCAATAAGAATTGACAAGAAGGAAAAAGCTTGGTTAATATTTACTTCTTCCCTGAATGTCAGTAATATTACTTATCTGTTACTGTTATGTCTGGTTTTCTAAGAATTTTGAAAGACATAACTGAGGATGGATTACAATCAACTTCTGAGAGCAGAGGTCCTATAGTTTGAGGGAGAAACATTTAACAGTCTTTTGTATATAGTAAAAACATTAAAGCCTGAAAAGTTTTTGAAGCAATACTTTACTTTTCCAATTTTTCAGTCCAGTTATTTTATGGAAATCAGTTGCATTGTCATTGAAATACTTGGTCACTGCCCACAAGGATTCTAATCCCCTCTCCCACCTTTTCTTTCAATTAAAGCAGTAGAGAGAGGTATTGTTTGGACAGAGGTTTGCCTGGGAGACTCTCAAACAAATACAAAATAAACACATGTCAAATATATTATTTAACCCATCAACTAGTGAGGGAACCAGAAAGATGACACTGCTGTGTCCAAAGAGATGGCAAAACATCACCCATATAAGTAATTTGGAATCCTGGGCTTATAAATGAGGAAAAACTGGACAATATCCACCAGGCAGCAACCAATGGAAGGTCCAGAATACAGCCTGCATTTCTATGGTCAGGATTCATCTGCACAGCTGTCAGGAGTCTTCAATTTACAGAGTTGCACAATAGCTCAAGGATAGCCCGAAGACACCTAGTGATCTTTTGTGCTCATTTCGGTCTTTCAAAATTCTTTTTTTTTTTTTTTTGGTCTTTCAAAATTCTTGACACTGGCCTGAGGAAGGGACTGAATGCAGACACAGCCAAGCTGTCAGCACTTTTTGTCTCTGGGCTTTGCGTCTCTCTGCACATCTCATTCCCCTTTCCGTGCATAAATGCAACTTTACCTCCACTGAGCCCTGTTTCTCCCGTTCACCTTCACCACACTTACAAACTCTTCTTCACACCAGTTAGGCACTGACGGAAGAAATGAGAAGGCGTGGGGCCTTGCTTC